CTTGAAGGTACATACAATATAATCTATGGTAAGTAATCACCCTTCATCTCTCGATTCTCCCTTTGTCACGTGTCTATCGTCAAAATCTCGCGATCCGATGTTAATGCTCCCTTACAATCTTCCAATCCAAACCTTGATAATACCTTCTTCACTAGTTTTTCTTGTTTAATTGCCAATTCTCCTTCTTTCCTTGATATTTCCATTCCTAAATATTCACTGATATCTCCCATCTCCTTCACGTTGAATTCTTTTCTTAGTTCACTTATTATTGGTTCATAATCTCCCATTACAATAATGTCATCTACCCAGATAAGTATCCACGTTTTTGAACTTGTGTACAGACAAAAATCATATTTAGAGCTTTCGAAATTTTGGGAAATAATAAAGTTATGAAATCTCTCGTTCCAACATTACGGTGCTTCTTTAAGACCATACAATGAACGTTTCAATTTAAGGACCTTATTTTTATTAATCTTTACTCCTTTTGGTGGTTTTATATACACTTCCTCTGATAAATGTCCGTTCAAAAATGCTGTGGGTACGTCAAGTTGTTTCATAGGTAAGTTTTCTTGCACTGCTAAACAAAACATCATCCTTAATGTAGACAGCCTTGCTACAGGGGAGTAAACATTATATCTATTTTCTGTTTGAAAACCCTTAGCCACTAATCTAGCTTTCTTCTTTCCTCCTTGTTTTATTCCCTTTTCGTAATGTTGCTTCTTCCCATGTATCTAACTGTTTCAAAGAATTAAGTTCACTCTCAATCGCATCTTGCCATTCCTTTCCTCCTTCAATTGCTTCTTCATACGTTTGAGGATCTGTCATTAAACAATAAGCAATATTACTTTCATTTTCATTTACTACGTCTTCGTCAAACTCATAATCTCGTAGATACGTTGGTGTTTTACAAATTCTTCCAGATCTAGTTTTTTTTAATTCTTCTATTTCTGTTTCATTTTCATTGACACTTTCTTCAGTTCTGTCTTCTACAATTTTTTTATCATTTTCTTTTCTATCTTGTTCATGTGAAGTTACTTCCTTACTTATCTCTTCTGTTTCTTCTACTTTTTCTTCCTCAGTCCATATTGTGTCTTCTTTCTTATTATCTTTACTTTCCTTAAATGTCACATCACTCTCATCAAAACGAACATCACGCGATTCTACGATTTGATTATTCATTGGATTCCATAGACGATAACCATTGTTTGACTAACCTACCATTCGTAAGTCTCGACCTCTTTGCTCAAATTTGGATCTCCTTGGTAAAATTACAGCCCAAGTTTTACTTCCGAATGCACGTAATCTGCTAAGATCATTGCTGCCTAAAAACAATTCGGCTGGTGTCCTGAAATTTATTGTCGATGAAGGACATCTGTTAATTTGATATGCTGACGCCATTATTGCCTCACTCCATAGGTGTTTAGGTAAACATGACTCTACCATTAGGGTTCTAGCTCTGTCATACAGTGTTCGATTCATGCGTTCAGAGACTCCGTTTTGTTGTGGTGAGTATGGTTGCGTGTATTGAATATCTATACCTTTATTTTTGCAAAAATGTTCTAAAGTATTGTTTCTAAATTCCTTTCCGTTGTCGCATCTAATCTTCTTTACTATTGCCCCATACTGTGTTTCAATTTTGTTTATATAATTTATCAAATTGTTTGTTGCCTCTCCTTTGTGCTTGAGTAGACTTACCTCTAAAAAATGCGAATAATCATCAATTATTACTTGATAGTACAGATGTCCGTATATTCCTGGAATATTCACTGGTCCTGCTATGTCAGTGTGAATCAATTCACCTATAGCTCGAGATCTTGGTCTTGCTACTGGAACAAAAGGCAATCTAGTAGCTTTACCTTGCATGCATGGTCCACATACCTCATTGCTTACGGGAAGTTTGAGTATCTTCAACCCACGTCGGTTAAGATGTCCTAAGCGCCTATGCCATAGATAGTCAGAGTTAGTTCCTGCACTAAGAGCAAGTTCTGTATTTAGAGTGAATAATTTACCCTGCTTTAGACCAACCAGAAATTTACCAGACCTCCTATCATTTATATAAACTTTGTCTTTGTTAAAATTAACAGTATAACCATTTTCTAGAATTTTATTTACAGATAATAAGTTAAATTTTAAGTTTTTCACAATTAATTCGTCATCTGATTTGGAGTTTTCATTTGAATTTGCCATTGTCATTTTCAGTTCCTCGTCTAATAGTCTTGATTTAACAAATTCTAGTTTTAGGTTTTCATTGCTCAATGTTTCGATCGCTGTAATTACATTGTCATATTTTTCACTCCTGGGCAGGTTATAGTATACTTTTCATCACGGAACAATCAATAGTAGCAGAGTAGTGAAGGGAAATGTTGGGAAAACGGGAGAAGTTACTCCATTTTTTAAGCTTCCGTCGCGTGTGCAGCCTTAATGATTAAATTTACATAGAAATCATGTATGACGGAAATACTCTACATAAAATTTTCTAAAAAATATCCCGCAACAGCATATGTCTATCTTTTATGGTTGACTCACAATAACACGTGTAACTCCCGATAGCTTAGCAGTTCGGAGCATTCTGATCATATTTGTTTACTCTTACGTTTATAATACTCTGACTCATCCCTAATTGAAAAAAGTTAACATTATTACCTATTCAATAAAAACAAAACATAGAAATCGGTATAGAAACACCAAACTTATACATGAAATAAATAAGCCATCGCGCCGTCGCACGTGAATACTGAATCATGCTATAAGGATTTTTTTGGTAACGGTTGCCGCGCTCCACACGGGTCGCGGCGGCGCCGGCGGTAGGTATAAGAAGAATGTCATTGTGTATAATACAGGCCTGAGAACAATAACTATAGTCTACACTTCAGCTCTACACCGAAGCGAAGCGAAGGCGGGCCACTAGTATTTAATAATTTTCTTCTGAAGTGAATTTTCGTTATGACACTTTTTCTATGAAATGTATCATTTATTCTTTCTAGCATTTGGAAGGCCATAGCGCAGTCTTTAATAATGTTCAAATATTTGTCAGGCAAACAATGTACGATAATATTTTTGGCTTTTGCATCTTTAGTCGAAAAATCAGAACTTTTTGTTTCTGTATCATTTATTATTTCATTTAGACCTTTTTCTTCTAATATGCAACGTACTCTAAAAAGCCAATTGTTGTAATTGTCAGCATGTAGCTGCGGAAAATTTGTCGTACTAGCAGCCATTTTCTTTTTTTTCACAAATTCTGTTCTAATTTTTCGATAAATAACATTTATTTATTTTCTTTATCTCATTTCATTCTTTTCTGCACTTTTATGGGTGATGCGGCCCATAACCTATTAATAATATAGAGCTTTGTGCGCATATTATTTATTTAAGGAAAATTATCACAACGTTACATGACATTAGTTTTTCTTCATACACCACGAATTCTTATGTGACAATGTCAAGTGACCATAACTAACAATTCTGGCGTGATTCTCTATACTTAAAACTAAATTTAACATTAATCTCTCCTTTTCATTCCGTATAGAGAATGACAAGGATACGCTGTTGTCAAATTTAAGCTAAGATTTAGAGAATCGTGTCAGAATTGACACCATTGTTTAAATAAACACGACAGCGAAATAGTTGAGTCTATTACGGCAATGATATTTATGTGTAGGTATTTTTTTTTCCTTTATAATATATTTACTATTCTACCTATAAATTTTAATAAATAAAAAAAGTAATACGACAATTATCATTATTTTTATTTAAAAATACGGCAATCTGATGTATCGAATACGGCAACTCTATCAAACTTGGGTGCAACACCCCACGGCCAGAATAAATTAAAAAGAAAAAAAAGTTTTTAGCGGGATTTCATCGAGTGTGGTTGGCGTCTTATTTTAGTTATTCTTAAATTCGTTCATAGTGGATATTGTGAAATAAAATTGGTGTGATTTTGTGTTACAACTGTCTGCGTAACTGAAGAATTAGTAGAATCGTCAAAATATACGCTATTCCGGTCAAGTGGACGTGAGAATTTTATTGTAGTATTGACTACCTCACAGAAGCTTATCAAAAAAGCCATTTCGTGCCAAACACTTTAAGAAACACTAGAATGCGTCACACCGACATTCTAATGTAAAAAGAAAAACAGAATAATTCAACTTAAGACTAGGCTGTATGGGCATTGTTCCCCTTGCCTTCCCTGAAAAGGGAGAACGTAACCAAAAAAAAAAATGAGTGCAACACTGATTGTCGGAGGTTTGGCGGGATTTCATCGAGTGCGGTTGGCGTCTTGTTTTAATTATTCTTAAATTCGTTCATAGTGGATATTGTGAAATAAAATTGGTGTGGTTTTGTGTAACAACTGTCTGCGTAACTGAAGAATTAGTGGAATCGTTAAGATATACGCTATTCCATTCAAGTGGACGTGAGAATTTTATTGTAGTGTTGACTACCTCACAGAAGCTTATCGAAAAAGCCAACTCAATACATTTCGTGTCAAACACTCCAAGAAACATTAGAATGCTTCACACCGACATTCTAATGTAAAAACAAAAAGAAGATTAATTTAATTAAAGACTAGGCTGTATGGCCATTGTTCCCTTTGCCTTCCGTAAATCGGGGGAAAATCAACAAAAGAAAACTGTTAATTGTCAAAGCGAGCCGTCAATGTCAATCGGTTGAATTCAGTTGATCAGTTCATTTCCATTTCATTTCTCTCATGCTCGCTGTTTTTCTTCTCTCAATTCTAGGTAAATAAAGTTCAAATAGAATAAATACATTAAACCAACTATCGACTCAGGGTAAATTAGTAGTAGAATTTCTTAGATCTCACATTTTACATCGTGCTTATACGTGTACCAATAAGTACTTTCATTTTTTTTTTCGGTACCTCCATTTAAATGAACGAACGTCGAAAACCATGAGAAAACTCTTTTTAAATATCTTTGTTTCATTTAAACTAAGATTACTAAAAAGTTGCATTGTGTTTGCAATTTCAGGAACACGTCATTATGTCTGAGAAGCACTTACAAACAGGTAAGTTATTTTGTAAATAATTATGCTTTAATTTTTATTGTTTCGTATTTATATATATAGATTATTTTATTTCTGATACCTATATATACCTGACCAAAATAAAATGTCTATTTTTTGAAATTAGTATTGTAAATAATCGCTTTTAGGTTATGAATATGAGTGTCCCAAAATTAAATAACCTTTTACTATCTTTAATAGTTTTTTGTAATGAGATATGTAATAGCTAAGATAAAAGTATGTATTAGTAGATGTTGAAGTATTAATCTGTCAAAAATAAGTGTGTTTAACAATTATAGTCATAATATTTGTCTGTTTTTTTGAGACAAGGAGTGGTTTTGCCATTTCTCTGGTACTTCCAGACACTATTCTTTAAGAATCAGGGTTAAGAAACTGCATAATATAATTTCATCATTCAAATTGGGCTCCACAATGTACAATCCAAAAATACATGAATTCTATTGTATAATATTATTTGTTATTAGTTTAATAGTTAATTAACTTGCTACTGTGAACTCAGAACAATTCTAAGAAAAAAGCTACTAACGTTTTGTAATAACCTTTGTTTTGATCTTGTTGACTAAGCAGATATTGTTTTTTAGGTGATGTTCTGCCTCCCTACAGTGGAAAACTGCGGCTGTTTGCAATGAGATTCTGCCCATATGCTGAAAGAAGTGTGCTTGTGTTGAATGCTAAAAATCTTGAATATGATTTAGTCTTCATCAATTTGGATCATAAACCAGAATGGATCTTCCAATTTAGTCCCAAGGGTAATTAATAGTGAATTATTCAATCTGTTAAAAGTAAACTTATCTTTTCAATACAACAAAACATATTATGAAGATAAGAGACCAAAAAATATTCCAATTTCCTCATAGACTAAACAATATTGCATTATAAGTTTATTTATAAATGGAGGAAAATAATAGCTTGTCCTTGTGATTTTATAATGAGTAGGTATATTTAAGAGCAAATGTGAATATTTTAATAAATTGGTTTTTTAATCAGGTACTGTACCTGCTCTAGAGTATGAACAAGGAAAGGCAATATTTGATAGTAACATCATAAATGTATACTTGGATGAGAAGTATCCTGAGAAAGCCCTCCAGGCTTCTGACCCCCTGCGCAGAGCAGAAGATAAAATGATTGTGGAAAACTTTAGTGCTGTATGTATGAAAAAGAAGAAAAACTTCTAATAAGCAAAATAGCTATGTACTTCTGGACAGTTCTAGCATGTTCCTAATTACTAAATTATTTTAAATTATAGGCCCAATCTGCATACTACACTGCTGCCTTCAATGCACAAGCTCTGCAGCCAAGTATGGTTGAAAACTACCACAAAGGTCTAGAAGGCTTGCAAAAGGAATTGGAAAGCCGGGGCACTAAGTTCCTCCATGGAGCTGAAGCTGGTCTAGTAGATTTGACTTTATGGCCATTTTTGGAAAGATTCCTTGCACTGCCACTTTTGGGAAAACCTGAATTTGCTATTGACTCAACTAAGTATGGTTTGTTGGTGAGTTGTATGAAAAGCTGTTATTAATGTTGAAATCATTGACTTATCATTTCAATTACCAAGATAAGATGACAAGATCTCAGTTTTATTTTTCTTTCACAGACAACATACATTGAAGCAATGAAGGCAGTACCTGCTGTGAAATCATACTACTTGGCAGCTGAGACCCATGCCAAGTTCACCGAGTCCCGTGCTAAAGGAGACCCTAACTACAACATGCTGGATACTAGTGCAGTCTGCTGCATGCGTCCGAGGAAGAAGAAAGAATAAATGGATTTACATGTTGATGATACAAAACACTAACCAACTGTCACAAAGTCTAAATTTGTTTAATTCAAAATGTTTATTTAAAACAGAGTATTCAATTATTGGATAAAACTGAGCTAGGCAAATTATAACTCAATTAAAATAATGACATCATAAATGCAATACTTAAAAGTTAATGTCAAATGTATAACTTTTATTTAATAAGTTATATATGTACCACCACAATCCTTACATTGGAAGAATGCAACATAAGAGTTATGAATAACTAAATAATAAATAGGTACAACAAACTATGTATATTATATTTACCACATGGAATAGGCTTGTGTTGTGTTAGATTTGGAGCGTAAATAATAAATTGAAAACAAACACATTTTCAAAATTATTACATTCCATCACTAGAACTGAATTCCATTCAATGTACAACCGTTAATATTAATCAGGTCGTAACTACAACTACTTTTTTTGTGCTGTTATTTTTATTTATGCCAAACTATTATAATTTTTCAGTTAGGTACATTGGTTGGATGCATAAAATATAAGTACAGTAATATGTAATTTGTTGGTACATAATAATTATAATAAAATAAAAGGTATTATCTTTTTACAAACTTAGTTTCTCTGACTTTATTTTTTAGTTTTTCCTAATTATATTTCCGCCTTGACTAGTCCCAATATTTTTCTACTGAAATTAAAAAGAATCAATTTTTTCAGCAAATCATTATTCTTTCATATGAATAACCACTATTTTTTGCCTGTTACGCATTAAGTATACTTACAATAAAAATGATCTTGTGCAAGTCCTTTGTTTACTAGTTGTGTCAAATTGATCCTACCTTGTCATTGTAATCGTTCATTAACTCTATTGAGACTATATTATACACAAATAAGTACGACACGAGACTTAATTTAACACAAGTGCCTCCCAGACTTACCTACCTACAATTTTGTTTTCGAAAAATCTTGATAGTGCTATCGTTTGTATCAACGGAATAATATCGTAAATAATGATTGCATCTCTGGTTAGTTTATCGGGTCATGTACTGGTGACATCATATAAAGTACTCCATACTGTTGTTCCTGCCTTGGAATACGTTTCATCATACTGGACAATGGGTTCAATCAAAGTGGATTTTAACACAAAACATTTGGAAAAAGGTTAGTCTTTCTCTTAAAAGTAAGTTAGGTTATATTCTCTTTGGGTCACACCACAGATTTAGGGACACGAAAAAAGTATCGATACTTTGTGGTATCGAGTACTTTTCCTTTCGATACCGATACTTTTGTACTCGATACTTTGTATTCGATACTTTTACTTATCGAGTACTTTTTGGCAAGTAAGTATCGATACTTTTAAAATTTGGATAAGCGCCTCATATTGTTATGATATATTCAAATTCTTTCCAATCTGTGACTGTGTTTATTTTGCGCTTTGTTTTGTTTCATAGTTATTTATTTAGCGACCATATTGTTAGGAATTGTGATTGATGATTCGCCGTTTATTGTGCTTTTCGCTTGACTGCATTTGATGTTTAATAATTTTGTGTTTAATCCGTGCGGTGACGGAGAAAGAATACAACTCACCGCCCCTTTTCTTCCCGTGGGTGTCGTAAGAAGCGACTAAGGGATGTCGGAGCTTCCATCCGCTCTTCTGGTGGTAGGGTGCCTAACACCCGCCTGGTTTGATACCACCGTGCGCATGGTGAAAAACCCGTGAAGTGCTTCTCGCGCGTTTCGGGGTCAGCCAGCGTACAACCAGAGCTCGAGTGGAAGTTGTCGCGATCTCTGCTCACACATTCGCTCTCACGCATGACTTGAAGCAACTGGTTGATCAGCCCACCAGGATCCCAGATATTCCAAGTCAAGCGCCTTCTTTACTGGACCTTCTGCTCACGACCCATCCACAGGGCTATCAGGTTGTGGTAAGAGCCCCCCTGGGCTCGTCCGACCACTGCCTGATATCTGCCAAAGCACCACAGGCCAAGCCTCCGCGTCCAGCAGTGGTCAAGCGCCGTATCTGGCATTATGGGTTGGCAGATTGGGACGGTATGCGTGATTACTTTGCGTCCGTCCCTTGGAAGCAGCGCTGCTTCAGTGACAGGGACCTATCGGGCAGTGCCGTTGCCATTACTGAGGAGATCTTAATGGGTATGGAATACTATATTCCTCATTCTGATCTCATCAGTAAGGGCACACGTAACCTCTGGTTCAATCACGACTGTGCTGAAGCTGCTTCGCGTAAGCAAGCGGCATATCGGGCTTGGATCAGAGGCCGCGCTCTCAAGGATCCCGGGGTCAATTCACTCAAAGCAGCCTACAATTCTGCTTCCAAGGCCTGTAAGAAGGCTTACATCAGAGCGGATGCCCAGCGTGTTGCACGTGTTGGCCAGGAACTTATAACGCATCCTGCGGGCTCCCGTAGCTACTGGCGTTTGGCCAAGGCCGTGCAAAAAAACTTCTGCCAGCCCTTGCTGCCACCTCTGAGATGCCCAGACGGAACACGAGCTCATAAGCCGCAGGAGAAAGCCGATTTACTGGCAAAACTCTTTGCGGCTAACTCCCGAATCGATGATTGCAATGCACTGCCACCATCATTACCTCACTGTGGCACAACGATGCCTGATATTAAAATCAGGCAGCGTGAGGTTCGTGCCGAATTGCAATCACTCGACGTCCGGAAAGCTAGTGGACCTGATGGCATCCCAGCAGTAGTACTTAAAAAATGTGCAGCGGAGTTGTCTCCCGTGCTCACGCGCTTGTACCAATGCTCGTATTCTTTGGGGCGTGTGCCGGAGACTTGGAGAGATGCTAACGTGCAACCGGTGCCCAAAGAAGGGGATCGCTCAGACCCGGCAAACTATCGGCCAATAGCAGTCACCTCAGTTTTATGTAAAGTTCTAGAAAAGGTCCTTAATAACCATCTGACCCGCTACCTAGAGGATCACTCCCTGATTAATGATCGTCAATATGGATTTAGACCGAAACGATCGACGGGTGATCTTCTAGCGTACTTAACTCATATCTGGGGTGAGGCTATCGACAAGCGTGGCGAGTCGTTGGCTATCAGCCTTGACATTGCCAAGGCGTTCGACAGGGTCTGGCACAAAAGCCTTCTCTCCAAGCTTCCGGCATACGGTCTGCCAGCCCAGTTCTGTTCTTGGGTAGCTGACTTCCTGCATGAGCGTAGAATTCGTGTCCTTACGGATGGTAGCAGTTCGCGGTTCATGTCAGTGAATGCCGGCGTTCCCCAGGGCTCCGTCCTATCCCCCACTCTCTTTCTGCTGCATATCAATGACTTGATTCCTCTTGGGAATATTCATTGCTATGCAGACGATAGTACAGTGCATGCGGGGTATCTCGGACAAGCAGCGGCTGGGTGGGCAGTAACCAGGGAGAAACGGGAAAATCTTGTCATTGAGCTCAATCAGGCTTTGGACCACATTTCCGAATGGGGTACCAGGAACTTGGTTGGGTTCAATGCCAAGAAAACTCAGGCTTGCGCTTTCACGGCAAAAACATCGCCATTCCTTCCCCTTCCATCTCTTCAGGGCACAACACTACCGCTGCAGAGCAACATTTCCATGCTCGGTATGGAAGTTCGCTCAGACCTGAATCCAAAGGACTACATCGAAACCGTGATCAAAACAGCTTCACGCAAACTCGGAGTCCTGAACAAGGTGCGGCGTTTTTTCGCGCCCGATCAACTGTGCTTGTTGTACAAAACGCAAGTGCGGTCCTGCGTGGAATATTGCTCGCACCTCTGGGATGGCTCCGCCAAGTACTTGCTCGATGCTTTGGATAGGTTACAGCGGCGCGCGATCCGCATCATAGGCGATGAGGAAGTGACTAAACACCTTGAGCCTCTTCAATTACGCCGTGACGTGGCGCGTCACTAAGCGCGTTCTATCGTTTGTACCACGGCGAGTGTTCTGAGGAGTTATTCTCTCTTATCCCACCTTCCCCTTTCCTTCAGAGGACCACGCTCGCTGGCCTACGTTGTCACCTGTGGCCACAATTCCAACGCGTACAAAGAAATTTGGTGACTCATTTCTTTGTCGCACTATCCGTAAATGGAATGCTCTGCCCGCTCACGTGTTCCCTCCCTCTTACAACATGGGATCCTTTAAAAGAGGCGTGAAGAAGCAACATGCAGGCCGGCAGGGTGAGGATGGCTGGTGTGGCAGGTAGAACTGCTGTATCAGCTATCTTCGCGTCTGGACTTCACCTTCACTTAACATCAGGTGGGGTGGAGTCATTTGTCAGACCTAACTATAAAAAAAAAAAAATGTATTCAAGTGTAACACTATTATTCTGTCTGTGCTGTGTATACCTATTTGAAACCACGGACCTGAAAAAAAAACGGACGTAACCTCTTCTATAATTATAATATTGAGTGAAGCATGCCAATGGCCGCCGTTAACTGCGTGTCAGATTCAAGTAACATTTTAATTATTAATGTGATATTAATGAACACTTTTTAAGTGTCAGAAATCACAGCTATTTTCTTTTCATTATATAATATAGCAATTTGTGAATTTATATGTCCTTTTACTGTTATTATACGTACTATAATAAAATTGGATTGTTTTTCTTTCAATTTTTAACCCGGGGTGGGGGGACGGGGGTTGCTCATCGGGCCACAGAGGATCCGATAAGGCCCTATGAAATGTACTCGATACTTTGAAGTATCGATACTTTTGTTTCGATACTTTTACGAGTACGATACTTTTTTACCGATACTACTCATGAGTACAGTATCGATACTTTCTATTCGATATCGTGTCCCTACACAGATTAGGTACTAGTACTACTAGTTACCACGTAGGTCACACAATGAATTGACAAAAACATTTATAAATCGTATTCAAGGTCATGTAATTAGTCACGTTCAGAAGAAGTTAAATACTGCTGCCACTTAGAAGCTTTCACAATTATCCAGACTTTAGTACGTGCCTTGTTTAAAGGTAAGGCATTTGGCATTTATGTATAATTTGAGATATAAGTGGTTTAATACAAATTAAGTTCCTTATATACATAACTGTTTATTAATTAAATTCTTTTGTAATTTTTATCTTTAACTGTACTGTATATTGCGATACCCTGACAGGGTTCATATTAGGTACTACAAGCATTTTGTAAACATAGATGTAACCACATGAGTGCAATAAATTGAATTGAATTGAAGGCGCCTTTATTCCCAGTCAATAAAAAAACTGAAGTGGGGCCAATGACTTCATTTCCATTTGGCTCTGGTGGCAATCCCCGCGGAGACGACTGGGACTCAAAGTATAACGTCGCGTGCCGCGTTATGATTATTACGTTCAATTATGATACTGAGGTTACCTACCAAGGTTCGTACCAAGTACGAATTTTGACAGCTTCGCAATCGTATCGCCTTCGTCAAAGTTTGTTTGTCTTCCAATTAGCCTGTTTGTTCTTACGTCCAGTAGCGGCACTGCTTACACCCATATTCTTAGTCATTGCCTCGAGATTTTTTCCATTCGACTCAACCTCATTCGAGGAAATTCGTATGCTTAGACAACAAAAATATCCTTCACTTGAGATATTCCTCACTCGAGTGGAGGCCGAGAGAAGGAATAAACTGTCAAACTCAAGGTAGCTCTCGGCGTACCTTAAGGCTTCCTCGAGCGGTGTTTAAGGTCTTTTGAAGTTGTTTTTATCGAGAATTATGTCTGATTTTGAGATTATTGACGAATTGGTGGATTTTATGGATTACGTATACGATGATGAACCATATAATCCGGCGCGACGGTATTTACGTGACGCCGCAAATCCTTTTGAGGTTTACGACAATGATTCGTCGCAAAGAAGATTTCGGTTTAGAGAGATATAGTTATATAAGTCATATTTCCTCTGCTAAGCATTACACTAAATTGTATAACAGAGTACTACCTGTACCGCCTTTAATACAATTACTGGTGGCTTTGAAGTTTTACGTGACAGGATTATTTCAAGTAGGTATTTACCTATGTTTGTTGTGTGATATTTTACTTTACACATTTAATATGTCTATGCTTTTATGCTTTATACCTTTGTTTGTACTCTCAGTGGAGGAATTCTCAAGTTTGTTCAAGATACCTACTAGAATATCATTTTCGAGGATATTTGAAGGAACTCCTTAAGGAGCCCTCGAATGAGTTAGAGTCGAAGAACGTTTGAGGACGCGACTAAGAATATGGGTGTTAGTTTTCATAGAAACTTACGATGCGATACGATTATCGAGTTGTCAAATCCTTGTAAACCCAAAAAGTATTAAAACTCTGTGTAGGATACGTGGCTGCGCCATCACCATTAGCTTCATACCTACTTATTAAAACTTATGAAGTTAGAGACCTTAGAATAATAAAATTAAGCGTTATTATTCCAAGTTAGGGGAATATAAATACGAATGTATCGCCTATTGCTGTTATTATGCTGTTGTTATTACGGATATATCTGTAATCTGATGTCTCTTATTTGGTCCTAGGTAGGTACCTATTAAAATTGCATGATGTGGCTTTTCTCTGTAAAAACTAACAGTTAAATAGAGTTCATTAATTCTTATTTATATCTCTCGTGTTACTTACCTAAAATAAGTTTACTTGTTTTCAAAGGGGGTACGGTTATCAAACCTAGATTACCTATTCTGATATGATATTATGTTTATTTGATATGGACTATAGTTGAGTGGATTATCAGCAAATAATTTAGCCAATCCAATTTTCTCAAGTCATTAGAGAGCTGCGTCACTGTGTTGGTTGAATGACACATTGCCTATTTCTAAATATATATAAAAGCGCTTAATTTCCTCATTACTCAATAATTTTTCGTTCGATAATCACTGTGTCGATTCATGTCACTATCTGTGTATGCCCCACTTTAAAAACTAGTTATATTACCCAAACAATTCCGTTTTTGAGTGGACTGCCCCATACGAGACATCGCGTTGCTCGATCACGCGTTGAATAGTGAATTATTAATATTTTCAAAATGCATGATTTCAACTCAAAACATTTGAAAAAAGGTGCGTAACTATTTTTTTGTCACGTTATTAAGGGATTATCAAGTGTTAATACTACTAGTGCTGCGGTAAGATGATATTCCATTACCATACGGACAGGTTCATGGGGAAGAAATGTGGCCTTAGCCTTAAAAGTTTGTTACTAAGATTTTACCTTCCGCACGTGAAAGTTAGGAGCTGGCGTAACACTGATTACGCCAGCTGCTAACTTTCACGTTCTTTTGAGATTTTTCTATGAACTTTGAAATCTTTAAGGAACAGAATTCTTTTTAATATTTTCAAACCATAATATTTTGTTTACTTTGCTAGGTGACCCTTTACCTTCCTACAATGGGAAGTTGCGGGTGTACAACATGCGTTATTGCCCGTGGGCACACCGTGCTATCCTGGCACTCAACGCTAAGGAGTTGGACTACGAGATTGTCAATATAAACACACAGAATAAGCCAGAATGGTTGCCTTCAAAGAGTGCCTTCGGTAAGTGCTTCTTATTATATAGATAATAATGCTAATATGTAAGCCTGTCCGCCGTCTGCACACCGCTTCGGTGTACCAACTCTAGTTTTTTTATACTTAAACTTGTTATTATAAACCTTCCATAAAAAAATATGTAACTGGTGGTGAAAAGTACATCAAACACCGTGGCGTGGCTTAGGAGTACAAAGACGTCAAAAGCTATTTTATTTTATCCGTGCGGTGACGGAGAAAGAATACAACTCACCGCCCCTTTTCTTCCCGTGGGTGTCGTAAGAAGCGACTAAGGGATGTCGGAGCTTCCATCCGCTCTTCTGGTGGTAGGGTGCCTAACACCCGCCTGGTTTGTTACCACCGTGCGCATGGTGAAAAACCCGTGAAGTGCTTCTCGCGCGTTTCGGGGTCAGCCAGCGTACAACCAGAGCTCGAGTGGAAGTTGTCGCGAAGGATTCGGTCCAGGGGAGGCATCCGTGGAACCGATGCCGGGAGGACTGCATCGACCCGTCGGCCAGGGAGACCCGTAGAAACGGCTGTCCCGCTGGCCGCCCGTGGCACAGTACAGGGGCCCAAGCGTTCCTAACCAGTTCGCGAGGCTGCCCCATCATGTCACGCATAATCTCGGGGTGGACCGTCGTGCCGGTTGGTGACTGGGGCGTGGGGTCCCGGCGGCCACTTCCGGGGGGGTGCGGGGGCCCTTCCGTCCGGCGGGTCGGCGCATCTCCACTGCAGGCAGTCAATCGGGAAGACAAACCCCCCTTATTTGCCCGGACTCTTCGCGACGGCGTCCGCTCGTTTTCGCGTCTCTTTTTTTTTCACTTCCACCATGGCAGCCTCAAGAACAAAGTTTGGACGTACAGCGGTGCACACCCCCACGCCTTCAACGCTGTTTGAGGTCGAGTTCTGCAACATACGCGGACTCCACTCTAACCTCAACGCTGTCCACCACCATCTCGAGACAGCACGGCCAGCATTGTTGTTCCTGACGGAGACACAAATACTTCCGCCTGCTGACACAGGCTACCTTAATTATCCCGGCTACGTGCTTGAAGAGTCCTTCAAAGCGAAAGCCGGTGTATGCCTGTATGTTCGGGCGGATGTTTGTTGTCGCCGTCTCCGCTGCTTGGAAGATCCCTCCTTCTCCATGCTGGGGGTACACGTCGACTCTGGCCCCCGGGCCAGAGTCTACGTGTGCCTCTACAGATCCCACACCGGCGATGTTGAGACAACTCGACTTTTTGAACACCTTAGTCGGGCAGCAGATGACGCGCAGGAGCGATTTCCCAATGCTGAATTGGTGTTTTTGGGGGACTTTAATGCTCACCACAATTTGTGGTTAAGTTCTTCCAAAACTGACCATGCAGGGATCTCTACTCACGCATTCGCTCTCACGCATGACTTGAAGCAACTGGTTGATCAGCCCACCAGGATCCCAGATATTCCAAGTCAAGCGCCTTCTTTACTGGACCTTCTGCTCACGACCCATCCACAGGGCTATCAGGTTGTGGTAAGAGCCCCCCTGGGCTCGTCCGACCACTGCCTGATATCTGCCAAAGCACCACAGGCCAAGCCTCCGCGTCCAGCAGTGGTCAAGCGCCGTATCTGGCATTATGGGTCGGCAGATTGGGACGGTATGCGGGATTACTTTGCGTCCGTCCCTTGGAGGCAGCGCTGCTTCAGTGACAGAGACCTATCGGGCAGTGCCGTTGCCATTACTGAGGAGATCATAATGGGTATGGAATACTATATTCCTCATTCTGATCTCATCAGTAAGGGCACACGTAACCTCTGGTTCAATCACGACTGTGCTGAAGCTGCTTCGCGTAAGCAAGCGGCATATCGTGCTTGGATCAGAGGCCGCGCTCTCAAGGATCCCGGGGTCGATTCACTCAAAGCAGCCTACAATTCTGCTTCCAAGGCCTGTAAGAAGGCTTACATCAGAGCGGATGCCCAGCGTGTTGCACGTGTTGGCCAGGAACTTATAACGCATCCTGCGGGCTCCCGTAGCTACTGGCGTTTGGCCAAGGCCGTGCAAAAAAACTTCTGCCAGCCCTCGCTGCCACCTCTGAGATGCCCAGAGGGAACACTAGCTCATAAGCCGCAGGAGAAAGCCGATTTACTGGCAAAACTCTTTGCGGCTAACTCCCGAATCGAGGATTGCAATGCACTGCCACCATCATTACCTCACTGTGGCACAACGATGCCTGATATTAAAATCAGGCAGCGTGAGGTTCGTGCCGAGTTGCAATCACTCGACGTCCGGAAAGCTAGTGGACCTGATGGCATCCCAGCAGTAGTACTTAAAAAATGTGCAGCGGAGTTGTCTCCCGTGCTCACGCGCTTGTACCAATGCTCGTATTCTTTGGGGCGTGTGCCGGAGACTTGGAGAGATGCTAACGTGCAACCGGTGCCCAAAAAAGGGGATCGCTCGGACCCGGCCAACTATCGGCCAATAGCAGTCACCTCAGTTTTATGTAAAGTTCTAGAAAAGGTCCTTAATAACCATCTGAACCGCTACCTAGAGGATCACTCCCTGATTAATGATCGTCAATATGGATTTAGACCGAAACGATCGACGGGTGATCTTCTAGCGTACTTAACTCATATCTGGGGTGAGGCTATCGACAAGCGTGGCGAGTCGTTGGCTATTAGCCTTGACATTGCCAAGGCGTTCGACAGGGTCTGGCACAAAAGCCTTCTCTCCAAGCTTCCGGCATACGGTCTGCCAGCCCAGTTCTGTTCTTGGGTAGCTGACTTCCTGCATGAGCGTAGAATTCGTGTCCTTACGGATGGTAGCAGTTCGCGGTTCATGTCAGTGAATGCCGGCGTTCCCCAGGGCTCCGTCCTATCCCCCACTCTCTTTCTGCTGCATATCAATGACCTGATTCCTCTTGGGAATATTCATTGCTATGCAGACGATAGTACAGTGCATGCGGGGTATCTCGGACAAGCAGCGGCTGGGCATGCAGTAACCAGGGAGAAACGGGAAAATCTTGTCATTGAACTCAATCAGGCTTTGGAACACATTTCCGAATGGGGTACCAGGAACTTGGTTGGGTTCAATGCCAAGAAAACTCAGGCTTGCGCTTTCACGGCAAAAACATCGCCATTCCTTCCCCTTCCATCTCTTCAGGGCACAACACTACCGCTGCAGAACAACATTTCCATGCTCGGTATGGAAGTTCGCTCAGACCTGAATCCAAAGGACTACATCGAAACCGTGATCAAAACAGCTTCACGCAAACTCGGAGTCCTGAACAAGGTGCGGCGTTTTTTCACGCCCGATCAACTGTGCTTCTTGTACAAAACGCAAGTGCGGTCCTGCGTGGAATATTGCTCGCACCTCTGGGATGGCTCCGCCAAGTACTTGCTCGATGCTTTGGATAGGTTACAGCGGCGCGCGATCCGCATCATAGGCGATGAGGAGGTGACTAAACACCTTGAGCCTCTTCAATTACGCCGTGACGTGGCGTCACTAAGCGCGTTCTATCGTTTGTACCACGGCGAGTGTTCTGAGGAGTTATTCTCTCTTATCCCACCTTCCCCTTTCCTTCAGAGGACCACGCGCGCTGGCCTACGTTGTCACCGTTTTACTGTGGCCACAATTCCAACGCGTACAAAGAAATTTGGTGACTCATTTCTTTGTCGCACTATCCGTAAATGGAATGCTCTGCCCGCTCACGTGTTCCCTCCCTCTTACAACCTGGGATCCTTTAAAAGAGGCGTGAAGAAGCAACATGCAGGCCGGCAGGGTGAGGATGGCTGGTGTGGCAGGTAGAACTGCTGTATCAGCTATCTTCGCGTCTGGACTTCACCTTCACTTAACAACAGGTGGGGTGGAGTCATTTGTCGGACCTAACTATAAAAAAAAAAAAAAAAAAAAAAAAAACACTAGCTCACCCAGCGTACTTGGTATCGCCATAAAAATATGGGAGGTAGAAGGGTGAAAATTTCTGTGTATGTATTTTTATTGCCACTTTAAAAATATAAACATAATAAAAATCTCCAAAAAAATATATTTAAGCATATAAAATTTTATAAAAATCGGTCAAGCCGTTTCGGAGGAGTATGGTAACTAACATTGTGACACGAAAATTTTATATATAAGATAAAGCCATAATAAAAACTCACTAGCCACGATGTTGATTGGTTGATGCTACGATGAAAATTAATAATATGAAATGTAATGAAAATAAAATAACAACAACACTGAGGGTCAAACGGGCCGATCGATGGAACCTTCTTCCTAAAGTAACTACTATATCGATCGTTGCCCAAAACTTCTTTACCTTTAATATTGACGAAATTGCAACGCAGTGAAATTTCTGTTCTGGAACATCTGGACAGACCGGTGGCAGGGTTCCGTTGTTTGGCTCACATATTCGGTTATGGAATGCAAAACATAATTTTGGCAAACACGGAAATGAATCAAGATTTAAGTCTGTGCTGGCAAACGTAATAAAGAACTTAGTTTTAGGGGTCCGTACCTCAAAAGAAAAAAACGGCACCCTTATAGGATCACTTTGTTGTACGTCCGTCCGTCTGTCTGCCAAGACCCTCTATTTCGGGAAGGCGTGGAGCAATCGACTTAAAATTTAAACCATTTATACTCAAATATATAAGGCCTCTTAAATCATAAAAATCACACTTCTAGGTTGATGTAATAAAGACACGGCTACTAATGTTTGCGTACCTACTAATTTGTACGGAACCCTCGGTGGGTGAGTCCGTTTTTTTTAATCAAATTTAAATTTGCATCCCAGGAAAGGTTCCTGCTCTCGAGATCCAAGATGGTGTTTCTATTTACGAAAGCTCAGTAATCGTCGAATATTTGGATGAGGTGTACCCCCAGCGACCTCTGCTCTCCAAAGACCCAGTGACAAGAGCTTTTGACAAGATCATTGTTGAAGCTTTTGCACCAGTAAGTATCTTAAACACCTATTTCTTAAAGAATATCCATAGACAACGAAGCCTAGCAATTTTAAATACAAAAACGTTTACGCGCAAGTTTGTTTGTCTGTTGTATTGCTCAAGAAGTGTGCCACTAACTATACATGAGATTTTTTTAAATACTTGAAATGTGAATGAATGGGTTCGTAATGCTGCGGGAGGCACAAGAGGGATTCTTAAACGTAAAAGGGGATGCATATTAATTTTTTACGCTCCAATATAACTTTGCGGCTCTGCCTCCCTGAGCATTAGGGTGGGCCGATTTTTTTTTTTATAATTTGCATTAGTACTAGTGCCAAAAAGTTGTGTCTGTTGATAACGTTTCAAAATATAATAATATTTTGTTATATTATGCAGATCTTCAGGTTCCGCAAGTCATTTGAAATTTGAAAAAAAAAATTTTTTTTTCGTTTTTCCCGTCGTCCTTAAACATCGATTTTAAATAATTTTATTGTGGTTTCTGACGATCATATTAAGTCTGCGGAACTCGCTTTGTAATTTTTCACATCTCTAACGGGGTAACACCCCCCCGCCGTGAGCCCAGACGGGGCCCCCGACCGTCTTGTTTAGTGCGAATATAACGTTCGGCGGGAGAGGCCGCGCGTGGTTTATAAAACGATTCTAGCGACGTAATTATGAGTAAAATTAAAACTCGACAGTCGAGTAAGTGTCCTATCTTCGGCACTCTTACTGAACTTCGAAATAATGTGTTGCCGACATACGAAGACGTGTTAAAATGTTGTGAATGGGAACGATTACAATTGAAATCGGAACATGGCGGCAAGGATCCTTCATTTCGAGATATTGTTGAGAAGGTAACAGGAAATATTTTGTTATTGTGGGAAAATGCTTCTTTGCCAACAGTGTCGAAAATCAGGATAGTTACAATGATTAAAGCTTACCATATGAAGTACAAAAATTTATTAAAGTCCTTTAAAAATAGACAGAATACACCTTCGTTTCAAGAAAAGATAGCACAGTTCAAACAAGAAAGCTCAAAACTTTTTGATATTTGTTCATGTAAATGCAGAGAAGACTGTATCTGTGTTAAAACAAGAAAGGTTGCCCCAGCAGAAAGATCATTTTTGGCAGATCAGCGAGAAGACAGAAATATGTTTATCGGAGGTGTTGACATACAATCTTCAAAGAAATTACAATGCCGTGTGAAAAGGAAAGCTCTTGAAATTAAGGAAACACCTTCAAAAGAAACAGTCGAGATTATGCCGTTTTCCTCCAGCTCCGAGTCGACATCGAAAGCTTCTTCTCCAATTTCTAAATTGAACAAACAATACGATGAAAGCTACTCCATCTCTTCGATAACAACACCGTCAACCAGTCAGTCTACGTTGTCATTAACAGCGCTCTCAAAAGTTTGCGACCGATTCAGAATTTCAGATAGAGCGGGTGCAGCAGTTGCTTCTGCTATTTTAAACGATTATAAAATTATCACACGTGCCAATACGAAACAAGTAATTGATAAAAACAGACTACGTCGAGCACGTCTGAGGATCCGATCTCAACTATTAAAAACAAAAGCTTGGGATGAAGTAACAGGGTTATTTTTTGACGGACGAAAAGACAAGACGTTGGCTGTTATCAAAAAAGGAAGGAAGTTTTACAAAACTTCAATAATTGAAGAGCATATATCAATGGTGGTTGAACCCGGTTCCCATTTTTTGACTCATGTGACTCCACGATCCGGTACTGCTGCTAATATCGCCACAGCAATGTTGGACTACTTTGAAGAGAAGGCTATACCCCTCAATCGTTTGAAAGCTATAGGGTGTGATGGGACTAACGTCAATACCGGTAATTCTGGCGGTGTGATTCGTAAAATAGAGTCCAAACTAAACCGACCATTGCAATGGCTGATTTGCCTTTTGCATTGCAATGAACTGCTTTTACGTCATTTGCTTATAAAGTTGGATGGTACAACCACAGGGCCTCGTGCTTATTCTGGTCCTATTGGTTCAGCTCTTTTAAGTTGCCACAACCTGCCTGTGAAAACTTTTTCAAAAATAGAAGCCGAGTTCTCAACCGCTGATTTCTATTCGGATTTGAGTACGGACCAAAAATATTTATTTGAGATCGTCAGAGCAGTTTCAAGTGGATTTTGCAATCAGGAATTGGCCAGAAGGAATCCAGGGGTGATGTCCCATGCAAGGTGGCTTACTACAGCGAATCGTATCCTACGACTTTACATTGCGTCTGAAACTCCTTCAGAAAATTTAAAAATTATGTCCACTTTTATTCAAAAGGTATACGCTCGAGTGTGGTTTGATATCAAGCAGCATTCCTCGTGCAAAGATGGTGCGAGGCATATTTTTAACATGATACAGTATTCCCGCTATCTCTCAAGTGACTTAAAATCAATAATTGATCCCGTAATACAACGTAACGCATATTTTGCTCACCCGGAAAATATACTGCTAACAATGATAACAGATCCATCACTAACGACAAGAGAACTTGGATTTAGACGCTTGGTAAAAGCCAAACAGACAGCCGAAGAGTCACTGCGACAGTTCAAAGTACCAAAGTTGAATTTCGATGCAAAGTCTTACATTGATATGATATCATGGTCGGAAACATCTATTACCTTTCCACCTATATTGGAAAACGTGTCAAAAGAAGACCTCGAGGCGTGTTTGATGTCCGATATCGGATCAGTTCATCTGAAATTTGAACGTTATCCCTGTCACACTCAATCGGTAGAGCGTTGTGTGAAGGCTGTTACTGAATCGGCTTCGAAAGTTTGTGGAAAAAAGATCAGAGAAGGACTAATAGCAACCACCATAAACTCGCGGAAAATGATGCCGAAAATCGAAACGAAACAAGATTTCGTTCCCGAATAATTACTTTATTTTTATAACAGAACTACTACTCAATTTTTTTTTCATATAATTCATGTTTCTGAGAACATTTTTGTATAATTAATATTATAATAACCATTTCTGTTTATTAGTAATTAAATAACAAACTTAGCGGAAATTCGACTTTTTTTTTAATATTCACCTTCCTTGCGGAACCTGAAGATGATAAAATAAATATTTTTTCTTTTTATATTTATTCATTTGAAGGCCATACACAAGTTTTCCCCACTAGAACTTTTTGAAATAACAAGTTTTTTTTTTCCCCATACTAAAGCGGCCCACCCTACTGAGCATGCGATATGATATAAAGCTTGTTTTTATCACGCAATTATCAGATTACTGTTAGATGCGATAAAACACGTGATATATATATGTATATTATGGTGTTCATGCTACGGGGACTGGACCTGAAGTATTTCTGCGATTTAGTGGACTTTGAGAAAGATTTTGATAGAGTTGTGGGCTGTGCAGCCTACAGAGGATTAAACGAATTTCAAAAGATTACCTTGTTCTACAGATGGCTATTCGTATTTGTCTTAAACTTGAATATCTAACCCAAGGAAGTTGTAAACCTAACGGTAAGGTAACATAACTTCCTTGACCTATTCTTATTATCATGTCACGATCCATTAAAAGGAGACACTGCCTAGATTGGGGGACCGAGTCGCCCTCGTCCGTGGGTGTAAACCCCGTATATTTTTTTTTCCTGTTACCCCACACGTGGTCCCTGGGTGGTGCAAATCAGGCGACAACCCACTGGTGGTAGGCAATAGCCGAGGCTAGTGACCACCCATCGGACTAAGTCGCGCCGCCAAGCAGCCTAGCTGTGTTCCGGTGCGTAGTCCGGTGACGCCGTTTAGGAAGATCGGGTCGGAATGGTCGCTCCAGTACTGCAGTGCCGATTTTTAGACGTACGCATCATTGTTGCATCGGGTAACTAGTCTCGTAGGGTAGCGGGATCCGAGGCACGGTGCACCGCTGGCCGACCGCAGTTAGTAGGGGGCCCAAGTAATGGGTTAGCCACTCATGAAAGGCTGCCCCGCCAACTCACGTAAAATCCCGGGATGCGCCGTCGTGCCGGTTGGCGACCGGACGAAAGGGCCCGATGGACACTCCCGGGGGGGCTCGGGCGCCCCCGCAGTCTCCGAATTAGTTCCCCATAAGATGCACAGTGTATGTGAGTGTCTACTTCCGTTTTCCCACCGAACAAATGCTCACGAAATGAAAAAAGGAAATAGAAAAAAGGTCCAACAGCGGCAGCACGCCCTTTCGCTCAAAGTGCACCTCACCAACATTAGAGGACTGCACTCAAATCTCGTGCCAGTCCACCATCATCTAGAGACAAAAAAAACCTGCACTCATTTTCCTTACGGAGACGCAGATAGGATGTCCGTCAGACCAGGCGTACCTTATGTACCCTGGGTACAATATTGAGCACAACTTTAAGCCCCATAGTGGAGTGTGCTTATACGCCCGGGACGATATCTGCTATCGGCGTCTTCGTAATCTTGAAGGCCCCCGATTCTCGGTTCTGTGAATACTGTTGGACACAGGCATGGAGAAGATCCTGTATGCCTGTGTCTAAGGTAGTCATGCCGACCCCGCGAACTATAGACCAATATCAGTCACTTCATTACTCTGTAAGAGCATGGAACGTGTTCTGAACCACAAGATCCTAGCGTACCTAGAAGCGAATAACCTCCTCAGTGATCGACAATAGGGATTTCGCCGAAATCGGTCCACTGGGGATCTTATAGTGTACGCTACTCACATTTGGAGTGAAGCCATTGAGAAGCACGGAGAAGCGCTGGCCGTGTCTCTCGATATCTCGAAGGCTTTCGACATGGTTTGGCATGATGGCCTTATAAGCAAGCTTCCTTCGTATGGCTTGCCCACTGCACTATGCGCCTGGATATCGGATTTCCTGCGTGATCGGTCTATAAGAGTAGTTATAGATGGCTGCCAATCACATCGAAAGACTGTTAATGCCGGAGTTCCGCAGGGGTCGGTACTCTCTGCAACTCTTTTTTTGCTCCATATCAACGATCTGCTTAAACCCGGTACCTTTGGGTATGCAGACGATAGCACAGTCGTAGAGAGCTATATATCGAATGCGCGTGCCAGTGCGGCCGAAGTTCAATCACTCCGAGAAGTCATGGTCAACCGCTTAAACTTGTCCCTTCAGGCAGTCTCCGATTGGGGAGATGCCAATCTGGTCAAGTTTAATGCTTCTAAGACTCAGGCGTGTCTGTTCTCCGCTAAAAAGAGGGCGTTTCAACTGGCCCCTTCTTTCCGAGGTGTAACCGTGCCGGTAACCGAACAGCTCGAGCTTCTAGGTATAACTCTCACCTCAACTCTCAACTTCGGTACCTACATTGAGTCCAGAGCTCAACTGGCTGTAAAAAAGCTTGGCGTCCTCGCAAAGGTGCGGAAGTACTTTACACCGGAACAGATGCTCACCTTGTACCAAGCGCAAGTTCGCTCGTGCATGGAGTACCTTTGGGATGGTTCTGCAAAATATCAGCTGGAGTCTCTGGAGTGCATTGAGAGGCGTGCAAAGAAGCTCATCGGTGACGACAAATTATTCGAGAGTAGACTCCAAAGTCTTGAACACAGGCGAAAAGTTGCCTCTTTATCGGTTTTTTACCGGTTACATTTCGGAGAGTGTGCCTCGGAGTTACACAACTTAATTCCACCTTCACCTTTTTACCACAAAACCACCAGAGAGACGGCAAAACGCCACAGATATACCGTACAGGTCCCGCAAACTCGTACTAAACGGTTTGCTTCCACCTATATCGTCAGAACAGCTAGGTTGTGGAACTCTTTGCCGGAATCTCTGTTTCCAGTCACCTACAATCTGGGGATTTTCAAGTCGCGAGTGAATCGTTTTCTTCTAGGCAAGCGCGTACCACCTTAGGCTGCTACGTCGCTCTTCATGAGTCGCGTGGCTGTCAAGCGTAAGCCTATTTAATGTAAAAAAAAAAAAAAATTTAGTTAGGCAAATATGACTTAACATTGTAAAGTGTCAGTATAAAAAAAAACTTAACGTTTCCAGGTCACAAGCCTATTCTTCAGAGCGATGACAAACCCAGAGGGGGTCACAGATGACGCACGGACTGCCTACGAGAAAGCCTTACACTTCGTACAGGAGCAGCTCACTTTGAGAGGCACAAAGTTCTTTGGCGGCAGTCAGCCTGGCTACGTGGACTACATGATTTGGCCGTGGTTTGAAAGGATTACTATCCTCGAAGGACTGAACGGGCACGCTGAGATTGATCCTCAGAAATATAAACTGCTGGTGAGTCGGTTGAAAAAAAGGCATGCCATGTCGCTGTCTCAATATTTCCTTTTAACAACCACTGAACCGGATTACTGTATGTGACCAAAACGAAGCAACATTATCCCATACAAAGGAAATATTTAAACTTATCCCTGTGTTTAAAGTTACTAAGTAAGTGACCCTCCTCCCAGAATCAGCCGCCCATGGCCATGGCCCTCTTAGCCCCAGGGTTAATACGCTTCTGGCCCAGGTTCAAAAATCCGCTTCTACTCTAGTTATTAGTAGCAGACAAACTCCACAATGCTCCGGCAAAGTGATGTGTACGACAATAGCTTTTTTCCTTTATATACTTATATCACCATTATACCTATTTTGTGACTGAGTAAGATTTTGTAAAATTTTGTTGTATCTTCTTTTTCAGACAGACTACATTGCTGAAATGTTCAAAGATCCCGCCGTCAGTCAGTATGTAGTCAATAAGGACGTTTTATTAAAATTCGGGGATGCATACAAGAAAAAATTACCTATCAACTATGACATGCTTCTAGAACAGTAATTTTTATCCAAATGTATTCATAACATTTAATTACATAAAAATTTTAAATACCTAAATAAATTACCTTTAGATCGAAGATATATCTGTATTTATTGCCACCGTTTCCAATCAAGATTATTAAAATAATGATACAGTTGCTATCTGCACTCAAACATCAAAATCTCGTTATTTTTTTATTACGTCATCATAAAGTTAAATTAAGTAAATTGATAAAGATAGATCACACAATAAAAACAAAATCATAATTTTTGCGCCATCGCGATCCTCCCTGGCTAAATAAGACGATTCAGGCGCGCCCACCGGGCGTGTAGAAGCAGTGGTAGGGATAAAGTAATACTGGAACGTGTAAAAGCGCTTTTTATAAGCTTATTTGCAGAAAATATATGACTATTACAAGAAGATGTGGTCTTGTTCATTTCACTGGGAATCTCATCATCTTATCCAACTCCGATCTGGGACTACGTTTCCTTATCAACTAAGCTTATACAATGCTCCTGGAGCCCCCCCCCCCGCCCTAGAAGATAAAATAAACGTCAATTTTCCTGGCAAGTGGGAATTAAAAACGTGTTACCTACTCTGCGCAAAATGAAGTGTTGGAAACAAAACATCTTTTCAGTCAGATATTTTGATTTTTTTTTATCTATAATTAAATATTCTACAACATTCGATATAATAGCGACGCAATATAATTTATATCTCCCGCGAAACCGTCGTATCTCGTAGTTTCCGCTCCCGACGTAACTCGTCAGAGCCATCTAGTAATTTGGAGAAAACAACGTCTAGCGCTAGCGCTATCTAGTTACGGACGACGACACTCGACAGTGCTTTTTCCAATAAAGAAGAACGTTCTAGCATGGACTATTCTGGAAAGTAAAGACAGTGATAGCAAGTATGAGACAAGGATGGCAACAGAGTCGAATATTTTCTACGTATTTCGGGAGCGAGAATATTTGAATATATAAGCGCGATCGTGAGGCAGAGCAAGGCAATTCAGTTCGAAATTTCGAATACAATTCAATTTAGTTCGGAGTTTAATACGAGCGACTATTTAATGCGCCATAAAAGAGTCTTATAGTTTAGTTGCGGCGACACGAGATTTACGTTTACTGCACACAAGGACGTATAAAAAAAGGCGGACAGAATTTCGGCTAAGACAAAAGTGAGGCACCGTAATGGCGGCGGTTATCTATGAGTGAGTGAATGCAGGGTTGCTAGGTTAGCCAATTTTTTACCAATAAAACACAGTAAAAAGATCAAAATATTTTAATTGTTCAAAATTTTACCCGACTGCGGTGGATAATGTTTTTCGAGCGTGTATGCATGTATGTATGCCCAATAATAAGGCGCCAAAATGAAACCTTTAGAAAAAAAATGCTTATAACCCGTCAAGCGAGGTATCAAAGTAAAGGGTCTTAAAAGAATGCAGTGGATCCCCGGTAGTCCGACAAACATTTTGCAGGGCAGTGTCGAACTATCGAATTTGTCGGATTATAGAGTACTGCCTAAGACCCCCTAGTCCGAATTTTTTTACAAAAGAGTACCTTGTAATCCGACAAATTACAGATCCAATGATAAGATTACAAAACATACTTTGTTATGTATGTCAAATTGAGTAAATTAAACAACACAATAGAAAGATTATGTTTTATTATAAAAGTAACGTCAAATGCTATAGAATTTACAAAAAAATATAAAAAACAATACCCTACGCGTCGAGCACAATTGTGATGGTGCGTACAAGTTGTAACTTGTTCAATCGTGAATTAGCGAATACTTGTATGTAATAGACGATGTCGGATTATAGGGGGTGCCGCATTAGCCAGGGGCCGGATTACCGGGGCTCCACTGTATTTAGAAAATAGGTATGCAAATCGTGTACTTACAAAAAAAATCGTGTTGCACTCGGGGACTGCCGCGGTAAAGCTATTGCATAGCATTATTTGTCAACTTATGCAATAATACTATTTATTTATGCAGTATTTTTTTTCTTTGATATTAATTCAAGTTTTTTCTCTGATATTAATAGATGGCGAGGCAGGCCTTATGATATTTTATTGGGCAAGCACAGCAAACAACAGCATTGCCCGGCGCCAAAAAACTTCCACATGCTCCACAGTTTACCACCTTTAGTCCAAAAATTATAATTATAAAGTCTAAATAAAAGGGAGACAAATAAAAATAAGAACAGGTGCTGGGGTCTAAAACAAATATATAAAAAATGGAAAAAAAAATATAATAAAAAATAAAACACGAGTGCGGGATTTGAACCGACGACCGCGGTGATGCGTCGAACGTTGGTCCCGTGGCAAAAATTTAACACACTGCACCGTTTCGATCGATACTGGAAAGGCGAAAATTGTGTTCATACGCACTGTTTTTAAGTTGGCATTGATCGAAATGTTTTGTTTAAATATTATCGTTAGTAATATTATTTATCGTTGAAAATATTTTAAAACTTTTGTTTCATTGTAGGTTTTTTTAAATAATCAAAGTTAATTCAAACTATTATATATAACAAATATTGACTTTTTTTATATTCCACTTTTTTTTCAACACTGAACTTAGCGCACTTTGCTGGTGCATTTGAAAACTAATTCACGTTCCAATTAATCATCAGCATAATTCGGCATTGGTAGCCACTGAGTCGCATTATGCTCTGTAATTGGAAAACTAACATGAAGTCTGTTTTTATTTTTGTATGAAAAAGTTTATATTTTCCACTTTTCATAAGCCAGAGTAAATCACCTAAATATGCCTGGCCAGGCCTGCATTCTTTTTTATATTTCTTAAATTAACAAAACATGCATTGAGTACTGTTTGTAATTGAGGAGTTCCATTGTTTACCTCCGAAAATACTCATCAGCTCTGCACTTAATTAATACAGCCATCTCGCTAATAAACTGATTCAAACAAAAAAATAATCATCAAAATCGGTCCACGAATCTCGGAGATATGCACGAACAACAATTGAAAAAAAAAAATAACAAATATGACGTATAGAACCTCTTTCTTTTTGAAGTCGGTTAAAATTTTTAATTTACCTTTTGAGGTACTGCATGCGTAACAACACGCCGGAGTCCTCTTTTAGTAGTATATAAGTCTCCAGCTTCAAAATGGATACTGCAAATGACACTATATTTATTTGGAATACATTCATCATCTCCGTTACAATTCCTAATAACTTGGATCCAGTCATTTCTCCATTCTACATTTTCTTTAGGGAATCTGATAAAAAAGAATAACAAATAATAGATTGAAGCTAATGTCACCCCAATTTCCCATATTTTAGGTAATATGGTTACGTGAACATTGACAACACTGGACTTTAGATTAATTATTTTGTGCTTAGAATGAAAATTGATTTCGATTTCTAAAAACTAGAAAAAAGTGATTATATTGTTCATTTACCTATGAAACGTGATTCCTGGATTTTTTTTCTTTCGGTCACTACGGTTTTTACACCATTTTACCACGCAAGACATCTTGTTTTAACTTATTTTTATCTCCACTTAACGTATCGGCTGCTTTGACGTTTGCACGCGTAATGGCTGACTATGGTGTGAATGTGTGTGTGCCGGCTTGTACATATAGCGACCTGGCCGACTCTGAGCGACACAGTTTGTTGTTTACCGGGACTCTGTCCGCCTTTTTTTATACGTCCATGACTGCACAACAACTGGAAAGATTTACTCCGTCAAATGGATATCAGGAATTTCTTTGAAAAAGGTGAGTCAAAACAAACCACATATGTATGTACCTAATATGATTATTTGATTTGTTTAAGGGAGGCTCTCTTGTAAGTGTATAGGAAGTAATTGATATTTGTGATGTTTTTATAGGTATCTTTATTTATTACTACGTTTTTATTACGTCCGTTTCTTGTCTGTTTGTCTGTTCGGTACAAATCTGGCAATTGATTTTAAACTAACTTCCCGATCTCCGGATGAGCTAGAGACTTGAAATTATGACTGTAGGCCAGAAGTGGATGACAATACAATATTAGATTGTTTTCTTGTCTATTTGTCTGTTCGGTACAAATCTTTCAATTGATTTTAAACTAACTTCCCGATGAGCTAGAGACTTGAAATTTTGACTGTAGGTCAGAAGTGGATGACAATACCATATTAGATTGTTTTCTTGTCTGTCTGTTTGTTTGTTTGAAAGTTTAAAAAAAAAACAGCTTTTTTATAATATACTTACCACGTTTTTAAAACGGACTAAAAAGTATAACGAAAAACGTGGGGTGCAAGAGCTTTTTATGCTTAATCATAATTTAAAATGCTTAGATCAATTTATATGGCATTAGAAACTATTATTTTATACTGTTTAGTCCGCTTTAAAATCGTGGTACATAATTATTTTTTTTCGTTCTATGCCTAAACACCGTAAGAGTAATTATGTTTGTGTATCCTTTTTTTAGGGACAACACGGGAAAAAAGAAAAAAAGGTCGGGATAGTAGCAGTGGAGGAAGCGATGAAAATGACAACCATGATAAAACCCATGTAATGCCCAGATGCATGCTAACATTGGACAAGCGTCACATTCTCCAGCAGAACCTGTAAATATATCTGTTGCCGATTATTCTTCTCCATCGACATCCCAGCAAACTTATGACGTCAACGTCGATCCTGAAATTATAGTGGACGATGGCTATCATGAAAATGATCTGGGTCGTTATGTTGGGTTGGCTACTCAGCTATCGACGGAAAAGAAAAGGGAGTTGTTACAACATCCTTGGATCCCGCCCAGAAATTATGATTTTGAAAGTGATGCAAGCCATTTGAAAAGGAAATTTGATAATGCTTGGTTGGATCAATATGCACCATGGCTAGTATATTCCAAGCGACTAAAAGGCGCTCTTTGTAAGCATTGTGTTTTGTTCCCTCCGCCCATCAGCACTGTGAGAGGAATTTTGGGATCATTTATGGTCAGGCCATATATAAAGTTTAAAAATATGCATGAAGACTACCGAAAGCATGCAACGACCAACCTTCACCTAACAGCGACAAATGCTGCAAAAATTTTTCTTGAAAATGTTCCTGTAGACATCCAACTGCAAAGTGGACACCAAAAAGCAATCGATGAAAACAGACAAATATTGTCATCAATTATTTCTTGTGTAGTATTTTGCGGTACAAATGATATGCCTCTTAGGGGAAAACAAGCAGATGAGGGCGTTTTATTAGATTTATTAAAGTTGAGAATCAATTCAGGGGACGACAAATTAAAGAGTCACCTGGAAAAGTGCCGTCGCAATGCAGTTTACACATCGCCAAAAATACAAAACGAATTGATTAATTTATGTGGCGAAGTTATTAAGGAGAATATAATAAGTGAGGTTCAGAAGACCATGGCTTACGCAGTCTTAGCTGATGAAACAGCAGACGTAGCTGGGAAAGAACAGCTATCAATAGGCGTGCGGTTTTACGACGAAAGCAAAAGGAAAATGAGAGAAGAATTTGTAGGATTCGTTGAACTAAAAGCACAAAATGCTTCAGCAATTGACAATTTATTGATTAGTTCTAACCTCCCAACAGAAGATTGCGTAGGGTTTGGATTCGATGGCTGTTCTACAATGGCAGGGAAAGAGGGTGGCGTACAAGCCATTTTGAGAAAAAAATATCCTCGTGCCTTATATTTTCATTGCTCAAGTCACAAATTCAACCTTGTTGTGAATGATGCGAACGCAGTGCCAGAAATTAGAAATACTGTCGCCACTGTTAAGGATGTTATAACGTTTTTCAGAGAATCGATTACTCGTCGAAACTACGCTCCAAACCTATCACGATTGTGTGAGACGAGATGGTCCGAAAAATATAAATCAATCAGAAAGTTTTCTCAACATTTTCCAGAGCTTGTGAAATCTCTAGAAACGTTATCCGTAGAGGGAAATTATGCCACCAGAAAATCTGCATATCAGTTGCATTCAGCCGTTACAAAACCAGTGTTTATTGTTGCTCTACAAACAATAGCCAAATATTCAGCAGTTTTAGAACCAGTAGTTAACGCACTGCAAGCTAAATCGATCGACATGATCTCGGTGTGGGAACACATCATGAGTTTCCTGATAAAATAAGTAAAGAAATGCTTCAAAAAGCGCGAGCTGTTGCAATGGATTTGAACATAGAAATTTCGGTTCCACGTCTTGCTCATAAGCAAACACATAGAAGTAATCCGCCATCTGACAATGATAACGAATATTGGCGGCGTTCTCTGATAATACCATACATTGATTCACTCATTTCATCGTTGAATATTCGATTCTCCCAAGAAAATACTCCGGCGTTTGCTTTAAGTAAGCTACATCCCTTGTATATGACCAAAACCAGCATTACAGACTTACACAAGAACGCAGAATCATTCATAGAATTTTATAACCTGGATATCACTGGAGAACTGAACCTTTGGCATAATTTATGGATGAAGAATGCTTTATCAGATGATCAATTAAGGGATATAGAAGTAGTTGATCTGTTAAACGAAGCCAATATTTTTTACCCTGCTGTCAGAAAGGCATTGATTATTTTAAGCACTATCCCATGCACCACGGCGACCGTAGAACGGTCCTTCAGTACGCTTCGAAGAGTTAAAACGTGGCTTAGAAGCACCATGGGTGAAGAAAGGCTTACGGGTTTATGTCTGATGAACGTACATCGCAATTATTTAAAAGAAAACAGTGAGTTTATTCAAAAGACTGTCTTAGACAAATTTTCAGCGGCAAATCCGAGATTACTTTTAAATTAATATATGTGAATTATGATTATTATATATATTTAATATTTTGTTTTGTGTCATAATCAAACTAATTAATAAAAGTCAATTTTCATGATTTTTTGTTTCAATATACCCGACCGACCATCTTCTCGAAACAGGTATGAGCTGCCCCCCCCTAGTTGAAATCCTGGGTACGCCCTTGGGTGAAGTTAGCTGTTTATGAGTACAAGTAGATGAAGTTAGTTGAATGTTGTACAAATTTTCTTCGCGGCATTAGTCATTTCAAATTAGCCCGCTTTTATTGAGACAACTTAGCGATCGCAGCGCCTCACTTATTTTGTCCATATTTCTGTGGTACTATTTTCTACAGCGATCGTTCTCCTTCTCTCTAACCTCCATGGTCTTCTGTGCGGGAAAAGCTACTTATTCTCATGGGGTGACCAAAAATACTATCTCGAGCTCCTCCGTGCTTCGGAAGGCAGGTTAAGCCGTTGGTCCCGGCTGCATCTGCAGTCGTTAGCACCCACCAATCCTCACTGGGCCCTATTCCATCCATAGGGACGCCTGTGCCCCAGCAGTGGGAACATTAATAGGCTGATGATGAAGTTTCGGGGGTCATCCTCGCTTTACTAGGAAGTAAAATCTAAGCAACATTTGTGCTTAACTTCAGAGATGTAAAATTGCTATTTTATGTATTTAATTTGAGTTTTACACGTTTGTTTATCTTAAAGGCTTATATAGCCACTGGGTGACTTTGTTAGCCTACAGTGTTCACAATGTAGCCCGTGAGGGGTTCAACTGTACTCACCTCCCTAGCCAAGATATTTTTATCAGTAATATACGCACTAGGATAGAACGGTATGTTTTTCCATGTCGTACAATGCTCGAGATGAAGGGGGGAGGTGGCAAAAATTAAAAATGAAATTTATTTATCCTTTTTAAAACATTTTCCCTTTAGCCTTATACATAATTCAGATCTTTCAAATAACTTATTTAAATAATAATAATAATAATCATTTATTTCGGATAACAATGAATGCACAGTGTTAGTAACAAACAGATTATACTTAAAAATTGATGTTAGTCAATAAACACAGATGGCTTGAATAAATAGATAAATATTTGACACACCGATTCCGATGTCACCCCACGATGCTCCCACCTATGCAGTGGTATCCAGCAAGTTAGCATCGGGGAGTCCCATCGTTCTGCCAGGCGCCCTCAGGATGGTGATGATGGCTACCGTGACCGTGACGTGCGTAGGTACACATACCGTGACCGTCACTTAGGCCCGTATGACAACTAAGTGTTGATCTTTACTTGAGTACAGTTAGAAAGGGATATCGCTATGTGCTTTAAATAGCGAAATCCCTTTCTAACTATGCTCAAGACTAGATCAATCACTGAGAATCATTCTATAATACGGGCCTTAGTGTTCAATGCAACGCTGAGCGGCATTGAACACAGTGAGTAAGTGACGGGAAACGACTTAAACACCATCAGTTGCGAGTTTTTTTAACGCATCTCAACTGCTACGCTCTATCTAGGGAGTAAATAATTAAAGGGTTTTGCATAGGTACTTCGCAGTTAATCAAACTGCAAACAACATTATTACAGGTTGGTGACTTGCATTCTTGCGTAGCTCTAGCAACTAGTTGCAACTAGTGAAGGGGTGGCCTTAGGGCTTAGGCCTAACCATGCTATTCAAATACGTAGGTAGTTCAATCCTTTTTCAATCAAAATATGTACCAGAACTAAGTCTTAGCTTAGTTTTGGTACATATTTTGATGAATCAGGATAGAAGAATCAAGAAAAACACGCAACTCGAATTGTTAGTTTAGTAAATAAACAACAACTAACGAGGTAGGTATTACTTTTGTTTATTTAAAATACAGATACAAAGATAGTAAGAGTAAAGATAAGACAAAAGATAAAGAATTACCTACCTACACGCCGACTGGTCGAGTTTAATCAGGCGGCAATCATGAAAAAAAAATAGTTTAAAGTAAAACAAACTCTTGAAATATTCCCCAAGCTGATGTTAATTTAGTAGACTGGTTTGCACACTATACAGCTGATTTGAAATGGTATTATGTAGGTATATCTATCTATTAGAATATCTTATCAAGGCCCCAACAAGCTTTACCGCAAATCAAAAGACGTATACAAATTCGACCTTTGCCCGTAGTTAATAAAAGTTATATTAGCTTGTAGTCAAATTTTGTTCATAACGAGAATTGGACACGTTGGTAGCGTAGTATATTATACGATACAATACAGCTGAATAATGTACGGCATAACAGTGTAAGATATAAATTAAAGATATATTTTGGTAGAAAATAATATCTAATACATTTAACTAACGACATTGTGACTTTTATCGTTTGAAAATGTGGTCGTGGAAAGTGCTAAAATCGACGGCACCGACTTCATGCAAGTTGTGTCGTAATTTAACGTCGGCGGTCAAGGGCAAAGTGTGTTTCAATTCAAAACATTTAGCTACTGGTATGAATGTACTGATTATGTGTATATAATATTTACCTACTTAATAAATAAATAAAAAAGGTACTTAGGTATTGTCTTCTAGCGAGACCATGTTGTTGTTTGACATTATGTCTAGTATCACCAGTGATTTCAAGTGTTCTAATATCTATCTTGTTTAATGTTACATATATTTATAAATGAAACTTATTTACTAAGGTTGGCACTTGGCAGTGGGCGACTCTGTAAAACGACACATACTTGACCACAGATAGAGGTTTCTGTATTCTGTGCCTTTGACAGTTTTTGGGTTTCTTTTAAATTACCAGAAGCTGCCTTGTATTTATTTTTCTTCTTTACAGGTGATCAACTACCGCCGTATAATGGCACACTGCGAGTATACAATATGCGGTTTTGTCCGTTTGCTCAACGTACAATGTTGGCACTGATAGCAAAACAGATCGATTACGAGGTGGTCAATATTAATCTGATGAATAAGCCAGACTGGCTTTTTAAAAAGAGCGCTTTCGGTAATTATTTTAGCCTCGGTTCAAGTATTGCACTGCACGTCGCTTAACATACCTACTACAAAATATAACTATATACTTATGTGTAATTCTTTAAGTATAAGAGAGCATTTATTTATCTTTGGATATTAAATGAGAAAAAAGTTTTGGCATTCTTGAAATACCGAAGTCGATGGTCAGTAATACCACATAACTTGGTTTGTAGATTACATTCTGTACTATCTATTGTGGTAATACTCACGATGAGTATGCTAGGCGTAGCGGCGCAAGAATTAAACGACCCGCACAAGCATCGTATGTTCATACAAAAAAACCTGCAGTGAAATGCCTTGTGATTGAACAGTTATTAGTGTTAGATTTTTAGAATGTTCACATACTTGCACTTTTGCAGGTAGATACTACGTATTTACGTAGGCTCATAACTTTGCGGATTGTCGAAAGTCATGAATGCTGCAGATTCATTAATTTCTTTAGTTCGCATGCCACACGAGACACGAAAGATCCCTTAACAATAAATTTTCGGAACTTCATCAAACAATTTCTGACTTAAAAGAAAGAAATTTTTTTAGCCTTACATAAGTGTCCATGACAGACAGAAGAAAAAAGGGCCAACTAGGCCACACCAACACCAGGGTCTCTGCGGCGCTGATATTCTAGCTGGGCCTAAAGTTCACGACACAAATTTCTATACCTTAACTCAAGATAAGAAGCAAACCTTGCTGAGTTTCTTGTCGGTTCTCCCCAGTACAAGGTCTCCCGCCATAGATTTGCGAACCGATGGCGTAGCTTCTGACCTTCACAAGTGCTACAAGCACTTGCCTAGACTGAATAATAATAATAATAATAACTTTATTGCTTAAAAAACTGTGTACAATTATGCAGTTGGAATTGCAATAATAACATAGTCACAACAGTGTGCCCATAACGGGCATGCAATGGTAAAATTTATAACTTAAAACTATCTTAATTTAAAAAGTACATTTTAGAGCCTAAATTATATTAAGTTTTACAAGTATAATATTCATCAAGATTATAAAAAACATTATTTAATAACCAGCTTTTTAACTTAAATTTAAACAGTGGCAAATTGTGCGCTTTAATTTTTGCAGGCAAATGATTGAAGATCCTAATGCTAGTACTGAAAGCGCTATTATAATACAAGTGATTATTTATCCTAGGTATGCATATATCATATTTGTATTTATTACGCGTATTCGGACGTAATGTGGTTTTATTTACAAAGTATTCTGGATTTTGTTTAATAAAAATTGCTGATTGTAATATATAAATATTGGTCAAAGTGAGATAGCCCTTATCCTTAAAAACATTTCGTAACGTTTCATCTGAATACATATTATATATTATGCGTAAACAACGTTTTTGCAATAGGAAAATGGATTGAACGTTCACTGAAATGACTTTTCATTTCATTTCATCAAATATATTTTTACTAGTTGGCAGGGGGGGGGGGGGGCAATTGTATTGACTTGCAATGTAAGCTAGTGGTCAAACACGAGCGACCAATAGGGCTGGCTAGCCGTGGCTTGCGGCCGCGTCTGTCTGTGAGAACCATAACCGTGGCCGCCGCGAAATATGACTGGACAAAAGTAAGGGGGAGTCCACAAAAAACGAGTGTAACAAATGTTCGTAGGTACACCGTGTGCGTTGAGTCCGTGGCAAGTTCTCGGTCGACACTTTTTCACGATTCAGGGATTTTTGTCACCTAAGGACAAAAGTCTCTCGTCTGCGCAAGCTTTAAACAGTTTACTATAATGTTGAAAGAAGGGAAATAAGTTATTCTTTAAACTCACTTTAATTGTAGGGAAAGTACCAGCTCTTGAAATCGAAGAAAATGTTACTATTTTTGAAAGTTTGCCGACAGTGGAATATTTAGACGAGGTATTTTCTAACAGACCGCTACTACCAAAGGATTCTGTACAAAAAAATCAAATGAAAATGATCGTAGAGGCGTCTGCTGGAGCTGTAAGCAAAAATAATTCTCTTTATATATAATTTATCAGTCTGGTGATGGTGACACAATAACTGTAAGATATCTACTCATAAAATAAATATTAAGGTAAATTGCGGTATAGGGTACGTTAAGACTGATATGATGATACTTGTTTAGTTTAAAATGAAGTTTTTGTTCAATTCTCAATTTTCTGAAGAAGAGTTTTTAGACAGAATTAGAGATACCTAATAGCATTGAGTCGAGTAATATTTCTTTATACATATGCGTCAATGTTATTTATTTTAAATATTACGTTAGTTAGTAATAAAATTATGTATCATAATTTCAGATTCACAACCTGTTTGTAAAACTAGTTAAGTATCCAGAGTACATAACGGAGGGTAACATAACAGCGTTTCATAAGTCATTAGATTTCATACAATATCAGCTAATTTCCCGTAATACCAAGTTCTTACATGGATGCGAACCTGGTTATGCTGACTACATGATTTGGCCGTGGTTCGAAAGATTACGCGCGGCTGATGATGCGAGAGTTAAGATCGACGTAGAAACACACGCAACTTTGGTATGATTGATAGATAATTCACTTCATCATCATCAGCCTATTTAAGTCCCCGCTGTTGGGGTACAGGGCTTCCCTATAGTATAAATGGAATAGGGAGATTCATCAGTCAAGACATGATCCACCATTGGGCCCAGTGCTAGCGAATTGGTGGGTGCTAAAGACTGCAGATACAGCCGAAACCAATGGTTAAAGGCACGATAGCCTTTCGAAGCACAAAGGAGCTCGAGATAGCAGATTTTTGGTCACCCATCCAATGCCCGACCTCTACGAAAGTGGCTTAGCTTCAACGATCGCAGCCGAACGCGCTAACCACCTACCTACGCCATCGAGCTCAACACTTCAAATAAATAGTTTACTTAATGTACTCATATTAACGTAGAAATGTTTCTAAGCTAGAATCTTTGGCGTTGGATTCACACAAATGTGGAATACCTAATCTAATAAAAATACGGCAGTCATAATTCATAATATCTAATGACATATTTACTATTATTAGATCTGAGTTGCAAGTTAATATATTATGATTCCTTATTGTTTCAGATTAAGTATATTGACAACATGATGCAAGATTCTGCTGTGAAGGAGTATCTGGTGCCAGTGAATATTCTCAGAGAATTCCATGATGGTTTTCAAGATACAAAAGGACCAAACTATGACTTGCTCTGCTAACATTAAATAATTATTCCATTTACCTTCTCATGGTTTTATTGCAAACAAATATGTAATTTATACATTTTTAATTAAAAGAAAAAAAATACCACACAGTAAGAAAGCATAAAAAATAAAAGAAAACTAAAATTATATACTTAATTAAAACTTAATAATCTTTAGTGCCTTTTCAGTGAATTGCATTCAAATGAAAACTACTTATTAAGCTTTAAAATCATAAAATGATACTTCCGAGTCATAATTTTAACCAAATAAAGTTCAAAGGCACTTCATGACTGTTAATATTTGCAGTATATATTTATAACAAAGCAGTTTATAATTTTGCAATCTGTTTATAATTATTAATTGACATACATAATTATTACCAAATATAAAAAATAATGTCTTTTATGTGAATCATGTCGGTTGTAAATAAGTCAAAAAACTAATCTAAAATTTACCATGTCTTTACTATTTTCATGCATGAAATAAATCTTGAACCAAAACTTACTTGTATCAAATACAAATAAAAAAATCAGGAAAAGATTCAAGAAGTCAATTAATTTCTATAACTAAGACAAACTGAGTTGTACTCTCAGTCTTAAATATTTATCTATAAATTAGCAATAGTAAGTATGTAATAAAGAATCAGTCAAGTTTGTATTTTTGGATAGAAACCTCAAGTTTAGAGATGATAGATTTTAAATCTGCAGTCTTGTCAAGCTTAAGATATGTTGTATTTCTTACATCATGTAATTTAATCCATTCGGGAACTTCCTCAGTTAGCAGTTTAATATCTTTGTGAAGGTCACTTGCGGATACATTCGATTTAAAGCTACTTTCTAATTTAGAGAGAATAATATTTAAGGCTAGAACATTTTTACGTTCTGTCACAAAAATGTTTCTCAATGTCCTAGCTAGGTCTGGGAGGCGACAGTAAATGAAATACTTTTTCTCGTCTTCTGATGACCTGGTCATAGCCTCAAGGGCTTTGGCGGCTTGTTTTGCTTTCACTTTCTCTAACAAAGAAGCTGGTAAGTTCCTCAATGCAGGATTTAAAATAGTCACTCCAGCTGTACTTGGTACATTAGTTTGAGTGGTGACATTATTTTGTTTACTTTGGTTAGCATCTGTTATACCTGTTACCGATTTTTCTTCTTCAGTTAATCCGCGAGCTTTCGCTTGAGCCAGCTTCTCTAGGGCCCTTTCCATTTTTGTGTTACATTTGAATAACTCCCTAGCTTTAGCCAACACATCTTGAGCTGAAGAAAATTTTTCCACAGTTGGTGCTTCTGGAAGTTTGGCACATTCCACTTCTGGCACTTTCTCAATTTCAAACTCAGGGTGCCAGCGAGTAAGTTTGTCTTCAGGAATCACCAATGGAGGATCCAGAGTCAGCAAATATTGAGCATGATACTTTTTTACAAGTCTAAGTAATGTATCATAAAAGTAACGACGCCTCTCTAGTAGCACAGTGGGGTTCATGTTTTTAATATCATTGGGAAAGTTTGGAGAGATAATCAGTTCATAGGATTCTTTGTGAGAAGTGCTGAATTGTTTTATCTTTTGAATTTCAAAATTGTAGAAGTCTGGAACCAAGTTCTTAATTTGGGCCAGATGTCTTTCAGTGAAATTCCTCTTCAACATTTCTTGAACAGAAGGCTTTAACTTGGCAAAAGTGATTTTTTCATTCCTGTTATAAAGAAGAGCAACAACAGTCTCCATACCACGGAACAGTTCTGCTAGGAATCTATATTGATGAGGCAGTGGCAAGCTGCTAGATGATGTAGCCAAAGATGCATGCCTGATGTAAGCGGGTACCTGTAACCAGTTAAATAAATTATGAAGCAGGAGACAAAGTAAAGTGTGTACATCACATTTTTTTTGTATAAATATAAATAAAATTTATAATTTCTAGACATATTACTGCAGTACCCTTTCATGATCATAACAAATATTGACAAAAAAATGTTAAGTAAAACTCTGTAGTTTATACTAGTGCAATATGTTTCACTGAATCTAAGAATAGGATCAAGCTTTTTAAAGGTTAGTTTGTGAAAATTTAGGGAATTATTACTTGCCTTACTAGGACTCTTGACTGGGCTTACAACTACCTTCCTTGGAGAAATTAGTGCTTTCTCGATGTTTGAAGGCTGTTTAAAATCACTTGTAGGTGACTGTAACTCATTTTTTAAACCTCTCTTACTTGGACTGAAATGAAGTGATCACAATTTTAATAAATAATACAAAACTTCATTTTTTTACCAAACCATTTTATTGTTTAAGGTAGGCATCTATCAAATACAATCTGCGATTACACAGGCCTGCAAAATGAGTCATAACTTCCTCTCTGGAATTTGATAGCTGATTCTAGGGTATATTGGTGCACTGATTACGAATATAAAACCCTTTGGATTATCTTTATTACACCTTTTTCTTATATTAATATTTACAACAATTAGGTAATATTACCTAATCATTATGTATGAATGAGCTCATTACTAAATTAAGCCAAAATACCACCTTTTTCGACATGTTTAATGCATATTACTTATACTCATTATGTGGTAATTAACAAATTACTGATTTGCATTAATTACTCCACTAATTAAATGCAATAATAATTAAGCTAAAGTAATTTAATGATGTTTTATAAATTTTAAAATGTAGGCACTCAGACATTAATGAGCAAAATCTTAAATATTCAATATCAATAAGACCTGATGTGATGGATTTATTATTATTTTTCTCGTAATCAGCACATCAGAAACTATAGAAAACGTTACTCAGATTTCAAAGAGGAAAACCATTGCAAATCTGTGTTATTAATATATTTTTAATAGTTACCTTAATAGACTGTTAAATCACAGCAAATACTATAAATAAAGCAAAACTACTTTAAGGAAATTGATTTACTTCAGCAATATTACAAATACCATCTTCACTTCTGCAATCCATCTATACTTATCATCAGGTGTATGGGGTTAAATAAATCACAGCAAATACTATAAATAATACAAAGCTACTTTATGGAAATTGATTTACTTCAGCAAATATTACAAATACCATCTTCACTTCTACAATCCATCTATACTTATCATCAGGTGCATGGGGTGGAATAAATCACAGCAAATACTATAAATAAGGCAAAACTACTTTATGTAAATTGATTTACTTCATCAATATTACAAATACCATCTTCACTTCTACAATCCATCTATACTTATCATCAGGTGCATGGGGTTTAATAAATCACAGCACATACTATAAATAATGCAAAGCTACTTTATGGAAATTGATTTACTTCAGCAAATATTACAATGACCATCTTCACTTCTACAATCCATCTATACTTATTGTCAGGTGCATGATGGAATAAATCACAGCAAATACTATAAATAATGCAAAATACTGGGAAATTGATTTACTTCATCAATATTATGAATAGTGGTGTCGATTCTGGCACGATTCTCTAAATCTAAACTTAAATTTGACAACAGTGTATCCTTGTCATTCTTTATACAGTATGAAAAGGACAGACTGATGTTAAATTTAGATTTAAGTTTAGAGAATCACGCCGGAATCGACATCACTATCTCCACTTTTGAACACCACCTATACTTATCACAATAGTACAGATAGTACTGTGCAAGATTTTATCTTACAAAGGTTGGTATAAAAAGGACAAGTGGATCTAAACTTAAAAACCACTGAATCATTATGTAAACCCTTCCCTCTCCTCTTATATTAATGGCATTATTTTCCCAATTCGTTTAATTTCTTATGACCCTACTAGAAATAATAAATTGAAACTATACCTTGAAGGGACTTCCACATCAATATGTTTAAATTCTTTGAGGTTTTTCTTGTCAGTTGCCTCTTTAAGTTGTTGAATTCCTTTACTAATTCTGTCAGCTGATGCTCGCAATTCAGCTAGTCTAGAGCTGCCAGCTAACCTCTTTTTAAGATCACCTAAGCTCAGTTCTTTTCGTGCTGATTTTATTGAATTCGAGGGCTCAGATTTGGATGGATCAATCTCTAGATTTCGTACCTTGGTATTATTATTTTTTTTCGCAAATGCCGTCACATTTTTTTCTTGTATCTGTATTTCTTTATGGCGTGATTGAGGTTCTTCACTTTTTTCCTCATGTTCGGTGATTTCGGTTAGTTTAGAATTTGGTTCTTCCTGGTTAAGAGAGCCTCTGCGAACTGTCTTGATACATTTTAAAGATGTTTGGTCTAAATGTGCAATTTTACTTTTAGAACTTACAATGTCTTCAGGTGCAGGTCTTTTTCTACTATTATAAAATGAAGTGATAGCAGTTTGAGACATGGCTGCGATAGGTTATAACAAAATCACGGTATAAAACAATTACTCGACTCCTACAAACCGATTTCCCTCCAAAACTGCATGGCAGCTCAACTTTTTTATGCGCGCGTCTGTCTGTTAAAGTAACAAACACTAGAGTGATCATTAGTGCTTTGCTCCGGTTCTAGAAAAACCGGTACAAAACCGGAGATTGTAAAAACCGGAAAAAACCGGTTTTTATTATGCCTCGAGGGGTGCTTTTCCAATAATAAATAATTTATTACTCAATCAATAAGAAATAATAAAAGATAAATATTTGTGGTAACTAGTTAAGTTTTTTATTTATTGTAACATTTATTTTTGGTCATCTTGTTTTAAACATTCGTATAATTACGATGTGCTTGAAAGAAACTGCAGCAACAGTTATCGCTTTAAAACCCATGTTAATAAATTCAGTCATCACAAACTCTTGGTCAACATTGTGGCCACAACATTGGCCACAATGTTAGCCAATGTGGAAACATTACAAGCAACCGGTGTCTACTCAATTTGCCCATAGACAATCATGAATTTTGGTTGGGGATTCCCCTTTACCTTTGCCATATGTCGTACTTGACGGCAAATCTTGAGTTAAGTTGATTTTAGTCGTGCTTTGGATTCGAGTTTAAGAGGATTTTAAGTGAGTAAGCTTTGTTTTTGTGCATGCTGTTGGAGTGCTCGTCTTTTGTAAATTGTTTTTAAGGTGTCGCCGAGTTGTTTCAGGCAAGTACTTTATCCTTTTTCTACATTTTGGAGATTAGGAAGAATTGAATTCATTAATGGATCATTGACATTGCATGTTGTGTAACATAAAGGTTTTAATACATTTTATCTATTGTTTTAGGATGCCGAAAGTTAAATCAAAAACTAAAGATCATTTTGACAAAGTTGATGACGCAAAAGTTAAGTGTAAGCTATGTCAAAAAATATTAAGTGTTACAGGAGGAGGAACATCGAATATGCTTGCACATTTAACCAGAATGCATCCCCAAATTAACCAAGACACTACAAACAAAGCTGTTTCTATTAACCAACATCCAGTATCACATTCAATGCCATCGTCGTCCACTACAGTAACCTTAAAGCAATCGACATTACAGGTAAATACGTTCAGTAAAAAAAATGTTGTAAAAATTGACGAGAAGCTTACCTTGATGATAGCGACTGACTTCCAGCCTTTTTCCGTGGTGGAAGATTCTGGTTTTAAGAATTTTGTAGAAGCTCTTTGCCCAGACTACAAAATTCCTGACAAGCGAAAGATACGTTATGAAATAATGCCCAGACTTTACAAATCAGCAAGTGCCAAATTAAAAGACATTTTGAATGAGATAGACAATTTATCACTTACCAGTGACTTGTGGATGAGCAGGAACATGGAGGCGTTCCTCACAGTTACTGCTCATTTTTTTTATAACGGACTTTTGCGCAGCTGCGTTTTGACCACAACCGCTATGCCAGAATCGCACACCGCTGAAAATCTTGCTGAAAAAATTAAGGCAATTTCTTCGGAATGGGGCATAGAAGATAAAATTATTGCCATGGTAACCGACAATGCAGCTAACATGATAAAAATGTGTAGACTGTTAGGAATCCGCCACATGCCTTGTTTTGCACATACTATGAACTTGGTTGTGCAAGAGTCTTTAGATTATCTTCCCATGCAGGAATTGACGAAGAAATGTAAAAATATTGTTAAATTTTTTCGAAAATCAACAGTGGGCGCACAAGCCCTAAAAATGAACAAATGATACGAAACCCTGAAAAAACTCCTCTGAAACTTTTACAAGAAGTTCCAACGAGATGGAATAGCTGCTTTTATATGATTAAAAGGATTTTGGAGCTCAGTGAATATTTGCCTATCGTCCAAAGAAGATATCCGCAAGCTCCCGATGTATTAAGTGTAGATGAGGAAAACATGCTCAAAGACGCTGTGGTTATTTTGAACATTTTTGAACAAGCTACAAAAATGATCAGTAGCGACCAATACTCAACTTGTTCACTTATCATCCCCATAATTCGCGGGTTTTATGAGAATTTTACCGAAATTCAAGAAAATATTAAAACAACTGAAGGAAATGGGCTTTTCTTGAGAATACGTGAAAACACATTGGCTCGATTGCTGGAATATGAAACACGAACTGCATGCAGAATAGCAACATAGCTGCACCCATATTTTCGTGATTCATTTCGACAATTTGAAAATAAACAAGCTGCAAAGGATGCAGTCAGAGCAGAGTTAAAAAACAAATTTCGTTCTCAAAATGTTGTAGATGATGAGCTTTCTCAAAGTGGCCCTTCTTCGTTGCAATACGAAGCATCCGCATCCGCAGCAGATGAATTACCGCAGCTCTTCAAATATTTACAAAAGAAAGAAGCGCCAACTCGCTCGCAAACTGACGCCACTGCTATTAACTTAATAAAAATGTATGCTGAAACACGCTTTGTTGGAGAGCACACAAGCAATGTCGTGAAAGATTTTTGGATGCATTTTCATCATTTGAAACCTATGGATGTCATCGCACAAAAATATTTGTCCATTCCTGCCACATCAGTTCCTTCTGAGAGAGTTTTCTCGGCAACAGGTTATATAATAAACGATAGGCGCAGCTCACTAACGTCCGAAGCAGTGGAAATGCTCTGCTTTTTAAACCAAAATCAGTGGTTGCTCGATTAGTTAATAATTTCTTTTGTAGATTCTTTTTTATTTATTGTTTTAAGCTCCCAAATTAGTTCGTGTTCCTATTTCTCTTAAATTTGAATTAATGTTGATGTTTCTGTTACTATTTCTTTTAAGGTTTAATTATGTTGATAGGAAAGAATTTTAATTTATGTTAAATTTTTTAAATATTACATGTCAAATATTTTTAAATTTTTGTCTCTTTTATTTCGATAACTTGCAGTCATAGGCAACGAAAAAAATTCCCTTCCTTGCAGATCACCTTTTATTAAGTTTTATTAGGTAACAAAAAAAAACTACTGTTCCATACACACTGTCAATTCCTACTCAACCTCAAAATGTAGGTATGGAACAGCAGTTTTTTTTTGTTGAGATAAAAAGTTGGCCCTAGGATAGTAAAAGTTGTTTGTATACACGAGTAGAACCACTTTCAGAAGTTTCGTCGATTATTTTAAAAACACCTCATGTAGAAGGACACAAAAAATACATTTCTCCGGAGATTCTCCGGTTTTTCTACAAAGCCTGTTCTAAAAAACCGGAGCTGAAATTTGTCTCCGGTGCAAAAATGATCACTGATCATCACAGACTATTATGAGAACAAGAAAGTTTTTTTTTTTTTTTCTATTTTGGTTTTACGGCACTGGGTTCTAGCCCTTTTCTGCCGGACCAGGAAGGTTTTCCTTTCTTCGTTCAAAGTTTTCCCCATTCTTCTGTGTTGATAAATTTTATAACGTTATATTTGAATTATTTAAATATTTAACAAGCGGTTTAAAACTTAATGTATTATTGAGCAGTTTAGGCAGAATATTGTCATCACTAATATCACTTGATAAAACGTTATTCAAGCTGTCAATGTCACTTAGTTCACTGACCAGTAAAAGTCTGTTTAATTTAAAATCTTGATGACGGCATTTCAGAATCAGATGATTCAAGTCTGCTCCTTCCTCTTCGCAGAATATGCATTTGGAATCTCTGGCAATTCGGATCTTGTGTAGATGAGCAGGAATTTTACAGTGACCAAATCTCATGCGGCAGGTGGTGGTAATAAAGTTACGGTTTAAATTTCCTTTAAGTTGCTTAGGATGATACCACGGACGGGCGGGCAATGTCTTCTGTATGTCGTGGTACCATTTCCCTTTCTCTGAAGCAACATGATGCCAATAATTGGACCACAACAGTTTGTGGGACTCAGTTAAATAAGTGTTAAAGTCGGTGTACGGTACTCTGCAAATTTGAGTATGATCTTCATCAGGTTTGTTATGGGTAACGTTATCTACAACCTCGTTACCAGTTATGCCTTGGTGTGATGGTACCCACAGAAACTTGATCATCTTCCCTTTGTTTTGCAATATGTGTAATTGATTTCTTATATAAAAAATTAAGTAATTTAAATTATGCCTAAATACGTTATTTCCTAAACTAGACAAAACACTTTGAGAGTCCGTTATTATCATAAAGTCTATATTATTTACATATTCTATGTACAATAATGCTCTATATATTGCATAACATTCTGCAGTAAATATGCTGCAGTTATTATCTAACTTAAAACATTTAGTAAGTTTAACTTGGGGGTCATAGAAAGCAGAAGTTACAGTGTCTGTAGTTTTAGATCCATCTGTATAAATATTGTAGTGGGATGGTAGCTTTTCAAATAGCTGTAATAGATCATTTTGTTCAAATATCCTTTGAGGAATTATATTTACATTTACATCTATTAACTCCTTAACATTAAATTTGTACAAAGGATGAGGTTTGGAAGAAAATATATTTACAGTTCTTTGTTTAACATGAAGGATAATTCTTAACAACTCAGGAAATTGACCTGTTGCTAATTGATTTGCTTCAACATATTGACCAATAATTGGAAGATGTTCCTGGGGTAAGATTCTATCAAGTATAGCATTGTTTTCTGTTGCTATTAATTTGAGACTGAACTTTTCTGCAATTTTTAGCCTATGTAGAGCCAGTGGCGGAGTACCAGATTCAACTTCCATTGAATTTATAGGCGTGGAACACATTGCCCCTGTGATGATTCGTAATGCCTGATTTTGAAGTATGTCCAGTCTTCTCAGTTTTGTACAATTTGTATTTAAATATGCAAGGCAACTGTAGTCAAAATGACTACGTACAATACTTTTATAAAGCATAGAAAGTGTATGTGGATCTGCACCCCAGTGTACACCAGCCAAACAACGCATAACATTTAAGCCTTTTGTTGCATTTTTTGAAATGTATGTTATGTGGCTTTCAAATGTGAGTTTTTGATCTAAAAACACTCCAAGAAATTTCTTTTCAGTTAGCCAAG